ACAATTTGCTGGATGGTAACTCATCCAATCCATCCAATATCAATAAAATGATATTGTTGTTTGACTTCTTCATCGATGTCTCGGGGCAGAAGTTGCTCATCAATGGCTCCCCAAACATCAGAATGCATTTCTCGACATTTCCGCAACAATACTGCTTTGAATGCTGTGGAGCCGCAGCCCTGAGGTGCTTGCTTTTTAGTGGCCCAGTCGTAGGCGTACTTTTTACAATAAGTGGTTTTTCACATACCAGGTTCTCTTTTCAATCAACACTGTTCTCGGCGCTGAACACTCTTCATACGGGTCTAGTATTGAAGACATGTCAACAAATACGTCAGTGATTTCTCCTCTCGTTTTCTTTCTTCTGACCACTTTAAGACTTGTAAAAATATAGCCAAGAAAAAACTGATACTGTTCACACCATGGAGACGGTGAGAGCCATCCCTCGCGAGTCCTGTGCAGCTGGCGAATTCCATTGGTAAGCTCAGTTGGATCACAAATACCTAGCGTTAGCAAAATGAGTAAGAGATCTAATGAATGCAGCATTGCGAGTAAGAATCACATATCAATAACCATATGCTCGCAATATGCAGGAAGTCTATCTCCAAGGACATAGGTAATCGAGCTAGCTTGCCACAAGTCAACTGTATGTAAGTGTTAGAGTGTCCGAAGTACTGAACGGAAGGTGGTAGGTTTGAGTCCGAACTGAATAAGAGTCGTACGCACTCACTAACCATCTATTTCCATTAAATTTCAAGATCATGATATTTCATATTTCAAGTGTTCTTATTAGTTCTCTGAATTTCGGTTATCATCTGATATACAACCTCCGTTCGCTACCACGCAGCAAAACATTTGAACATTAGGGTATAACTATCTTTACTGATTTAACCAAATGTCTCAGTAGGAATATAATCCTTAACTCGTACGTTCGAAGCGAGAAATTGACGTCAGGATATTGAAACGAAAGCTATCCTCGATCACGAGCTTTGCTTCGTTCCAGTTAAACAAAACACTTAATCAACCTGTTCCCAAAATTTTTCGCTTGCCTATTGTGTACAGCTGAATTAAACTGCTTGCGTTGAATTTTCATTCAGCTTCGGACGTAACTTAACCGTTGCTTATGTGATTCAAGTTTCGCCGTTTCGACGATTAGATATGATATTGACTTCAGGTGGCTTTAATTTGAAGAAAATTGAGAGTTAAAACGGATTACCAAAAAGTGAAAAAATTTAATAACTCAGTAATTCCATTGGCTCTTGTTTCTGACTTTAATTGAAATTTTGATGTCTAGAAAAGCCAAAGAAGTGTCGGAAGTTTCCTACGTATATTTCAGAGCCAGGCGAAATTAATTGATAACGGCTATTAATTGAGTCAGCTCATCCCTGGTAGGAAAGGTGGCGCTGATACAGTCGTCGATGTAGCGATCGTAGAGTTCAGGTTTGGGGCCGTTGTATTGACTGAATAATTGGTGTTCGATAAAATCTACGAAACAATTGGCGTAGCCGGGTCCCACCGAGCATTTTTTACCCCATGGCTCGGGTGTCATTTTCCTTGAATGTTTTCTTTCAGACACGGGAAATAGCAGACAATGAGGAGGTCTGAAAGAGGCCAACAATAACGGACCCTTTAAATTGATTTTCGACACTTAAATTAGTTTTTCGATAGGGAAAATAACCTGACTGAATTTTGAACGGTATGTTACGCCATACAAAACACCCATTTCATTTACATAACGATAAAACATAAAGACCAGAGTGTCTATAAAGAAGCTTTTAACAAATCATATTTTATTCGAGTGTCAATCTGAACTACATATTAACCTAAACAATTTTTTTCTGCTTCGTGAAGCCTCTGGGTTTGGGTTAGGGTTGATCCACATATTTTTTAAACACGTGGAATTCAACGTCTCCCTTTTACTTTCTTTGGCTACACAGGTTTTCTGAAGGGGTCAATTTTTTTAAATTCAATTGACAGAATGAACCGACAGGTATTTAGAGGTAACATTTCATCTGTACAAGCTCAGTGGTCAAGTCGTGCGGTCAATTATTCCATTGGTTCCTGTTTCTGACTTGTTGGATACGAGATTGGCATAGCCAGTCCTTATCAGGTGCGGGCTCATGGAACAACTGTTAAGTATAGTGCACATATTATAATAAGTATATAAAGTAATTGTACGAAGGTTCTTTCATTACAGCTTACGTCCATTTCTTAAGCAAGTCCACTGAATTAAAAAATGCAGAGACTTGGAGTCATTAGCCGGTTCTAGGCGTTCAGTTAGTAAAACAGAACGAAATAAATGAACTGCGCGATAGTAGCAGCAAAACAGTACGCGACCCGACCCACCCCTCCCCCGTTTTTTTCACTCAGCTGCTATCATCGCATCATTTACTATTACGCTTTGCATTTATCAGGAAATGTACGCAAAACGATAAGTGGTCTTATCCAAGACAATACTCTGGACGCCGGTAATAGCAATTTACACTGTACCTCCCGTTACCAATCCGTTTATTACCTCTTTCGTGACAAAGCGCAGTTTACTTGACGACAACTACCCATAATTCCCAGAGCACTAACTTTTGTTGACTGTTCCAAAATTGTATGGTCAGCACCCGTTCTCATTATTATTATTATTATTATTATTATTATTATTATTATTTATCCTCTCCAGGGTACTCGAAAGAGCACTAATGATTTAATAAACATCTCCAGGGGGAAAATCCGTGCATTTAAATGGTAAGTGTTAAAACATCATCACACTTTCGCGACATGCTCCTGATTGTGACGACAAATCCTAGGAGATAAAGTTATTTACCTGCAAGGTGATAAACACCGATAAGATTCACGAAGAGATCGAGGAGTACTCGGGTCTTACATATGGTACAGAGTTTCATCTTATTGCTATACGCTATAATTATAGCAAATGTTTTAGAAAAAGTGTTTATTGACGAAAGGCCATTTACATCAAACCACGTGACTTTTGACTAATCCTGGTCAGTCATGCCTGACTTAAGACTAGCCGCGAAATTGATCTATTTTTCTTAAGAAATTTTCTCATCACAAAACACCATTTCTGATTTACCAAAAACTTCAGATCTTAAAATTTAGTTTCTTTTGGGTTTCATACCTTGTATTTCACAAATTTTAACATTGAAATGTTAAGAAAAAGTAATTTCCCTCTAGGCAAAAATCTTCCAAATTCTATATAAAATTTTCAGCAAATTCATTTTTAACTCGTGAATCGCGCGCATGCGCAAGAGCGAGTTGTAGATATGATTTGGATAATAGCACTCGCTCGATTGATCGATTCCTGTAAACTTTTTTTCAGTTATAGACTTTTGAGTGCATTTGATAGTTTTTGGCGAGTAATAAACAAACGAAATGGCGACCTTTGTTGCTAAGAATAGTTGTGAGGTGAAAAAGAAGCCAATGATAATCTTAAAAGAGTTATTTTTTTTCGTTTTAGTTTCAACAAGCGGCGCTAGCGACTGGATGGCGTGCGAGGATTCACACTGAAATAAGAGAACAACCTTCGTTTTCCATAAAACTGCTATTTACAATCCTTGAACTTGAAAACAATTCGAAGATTCATTAAAAATATCACTTATTCCGAAGCGCTCGGAGCTTTACAAGTGTTCAAAAGCTTTTTCTGTTATAACGTGAGATTGGGGACAAAATCGATCATTGCATTTCGTATCGTGTGTTTTTCTTGTGTGAAGCAACAAAAGCTGCTGGCGACTGACGAAATTACAGGTTAACACGAAAATTAAATAACACCTAAACAAATAATTTTGGCTACCGATTTCCAGTGAATGTTTAAAGAACAATTTTCTTCCAAGTTTCAAGGCAATTTGAAGATTCTAAATAGATATTACGTACCAAAATGCGAAACTTATACACCACAAAATGGATAAATAGGTCTGAAATGAAATTCTATCTTGTTCTTGAATATACGTTGCCTAGCACGTCCAAAATGACGGTGGCAGTCTTGGCTTAGTTATGTCACTCAAAACTAGTTCCTGTTTGTCTCATTTGATAAAGAGGGAATCATTAATGTTTTCATTAAGACGGTATTGCCTTGATTTTCCAATATTTATAATGATAGACAGTAAATTTCGCTTTTCACCCACATTTACTTCCAACCTTTTCTTTTGAACCAGAAACACAAATGATATATGTAAGTTATTTGCCGGCTGGGAGGTCAGTATGGTGAAAAGCATTTTAAGACCGAGGTCACAGTTTTTCACAATACGGACCGACCCTTAGCCGGTACATAACATATTTAATTTTTTTTAAACTTGACGAAATTCTTTCCGAAAGAACCCGAATGATTTAGGGCTGTAAATATGGCAAGATCTTTCCTAAACTAAACAATTTTTTGAGCGAGTATATGGTAGTTAAAATGGAGGTGATGCAAATTAAAGAGAGATGACTCACCGAAACATTTTCATTTCCGTAAAGATAAAGGTGATTTAAAAGGCTTCCAAACAAACTTTGAAACATTATTTTTACAAGTATCTGTCACAATCTGACACCTGTCAATTAAGGGGAGCATAAGAAAAAAAAACGCGAGAAAACATTTGAAAAACAACGGAACTAGTTTGGCTAGGACTGTCACGACAATGTTTAGTTCAAAAACAGTCAATGTCTAACGGAGAGTATTATTCACTCTTATCGACGATTCATTCATGAACGAAGATTTATCTCTGTTCATTAAGTAAACGGCGAGGAAAAAATGCGAGTAAACTCAATTTTTTTATTTTGAAGTTGTGAGAGTTTGTTCGTTTGTTTGCTGCAATGGCGTGTGTAAATCTGGTCTTTCCTCCACGAAAACTAAATTAGAATGGTACACTCCAACGAAACAAACGGGGATTTAATGCGGCCTTTATTCATTAAATTCCTTCAGTTTCTATTGTGCAATTTACGGTACAAATGTCCAAATTGAACGGACTCGGAAAGACTCACCGAGAGCGTAAATTTGTTGTAGAACTTAAACTAAAACTTCGCTCGCTCTTTTACTACGAACAAATCGTTTGAGAAAATTCAGATATTAAATGAATAAAAGTTACATCGTTCAGTTTAACTGTAACCAAATACTTCACGTTTTAACTTTCTATGTACTTTTTGAGAACGATTAAAATTAACTGCAGACGGTTTTAAGGCCGCTTGCCAACTAACGTAATTGACACGATTGCTTATACAAATTAATTCTGAAACCAATATTTTTCTGTCGACCAAAGTGATTTGATTTGCTACATTAGCGAACACTGAACTACTGCTCGTACTCTAAATATGACAATCAACCACAAAATTCCCTAAGCCAGATAACCTTAAACATAATCCAAAAAATTATGTAAGTCATCTGTCAATTCACGAGTTTGCTCACAGAGCACTTTGATTCAAAGCTAAGACGATTGCTCAAGTAATGTGCCAAGTATAATTTTTCAATTAGGATAACGTTAATTTTTAATTAATAATACTTTCAGTGTAAAAGTATTTCGAGTTGGTATCGCAGGTAAATGCGGTCTTAGGGAAAGCAGATTATGCGCCGGATAGCTTTCCTAAAATCGAGCGGGTTTTGCGGCAAAACAATTTTTTCAGCAATTTACTAAAACTGTAGACAACTATGGCAATCTGAGCTAGATCTCATCAATCTAGTTAACTAGCTTTTTTTTTTGCGCTGTCCTGCCTTTCAGAATTGAGCCAGGAAATAAACTGAATTCAAACGCTTGTGTCGAGCATGCGTGTAAGTGCTAAACATGTTAAAGAGAACATGAGAGTATACTTTATCAGTAAACTGATAAAAGCGTTACAGCGTTTAAGAATATAAAATCAATTGAGTCATAACGTTCCAGCCTAATTTCTTAATACAAAATGGCTTTTTCTACCAAGTAAGCGTGTAAGGCAAAGATGATTCATCCCTGAAACTTGCTGAGGCAAAGTGTTCAAACTGTAAGCCAGTCATTTACCGCGGAAATCTATCTAACTACACTATTAAATCCTCGACGTTTGCATACAACTGCTTGTCGTACATTGTCATGTTGATCAGCTTCTGCAGAAAAGAATAATATAATAATCAGCATCATTAAAAAAGTGTTCCTCTTAAGTTATAAGCGTTTATCCTCACAAGTGGTCAGCTTTTCACACCAAAACAAATTCAATAAAGTATTTTATGGCGTCGTCGTCTGCTACTCTTTGCGCGTCTCAGTGCAGTTTTGCAATAATCCTACCATCTTTTAAATAACCATAATGAGTCAATTGTAGCAGGGGCATTCTAGTTCGCTTCTTCCCCGTTTTTCGTGGAGTGCTAGCTTCAGTGACATAACAAGAAGATGCAATCCAAACTTCGTAAAAATCACGCTATCTAAGCTAAACGCTACTATGTTTAAAACCCTAATTAGCTGAGCCTAAGCCAGTCGGTCAAACGTGAAAAGAAACTTTCATGTTGATCAAAATTCTCACCTTGTGTAGGGTTTCCATGTCCTTAAGCTGATTTTTCAATTCAGTAAAAGTTGGTCTTGCATCTGGGTCATTCTTCCAGCATTTCATCATAATCTGATACCTGGTATTGTTCAAATGATCTGTTAGAGATTTAAAGAACGCTTCCTTGTAGGGTGAGAGAGAACGAATTGAAAAAACACCTACAATTCTTCATCGACGTGTTGTGGTTTAGGCATCCTGTATCCATCCTGAAGTAAGTTTGCAATTTTTCTTCCATCCATTCGTGGGTAAGGTGAACCACCTGGAAGAACCATAAGACCATCGAAATATAAATGTGACGAAAAAACGACCTTCACTGAAACGCCACCCAGATCATTTGATGAAGTTTGAAGCTCATTACGTTTGTCTAACTGAACACGTTAAATTGCTTAATTAAACATGGTATATAGCAAAAAACATCTACAGGGCCTTATAAATTTCCATTCGATGTTACCTATGGTGAAAATCTCGTACAGCAAAACTCCGTAACTCCATCTGCGGAAAGACAAATCAAACAAATATATATTGGGTGACTGAAGACATTAACATTATATACGACAATTAAAATACATGTACTCTTTGACAAAGCATAGAATTCATGCCCTAGTTAAAATTTATAACACTTAGAGAAAGATTTTTTTCGTCTTGTCACGAGTGTGGGACAAAGAAAAAATTTTGACTCCCAACGAGGAATTGAACCTCAGACCTTCGGATTCCGCGCTCCGATTCTTTCTCTTATTTTTATGTACAAACATGACTCTATATCGACATTGCTGATCCTTGCAGTATGCAGGACGCGTGTCATATGAACTTAGTAATAAACCTCACTCACTGAAGAGTCTCTGTGGCTCAGTGGTATGACCATCGGAGCGCGGAATCCGATGGTCTGAGGTTCGATTCCTCATGGGGGGTCAAGAATTTTTTCATTGTCCAACGCTCGTGAGAGGATGAAAAACATCTTTCTCTATTTCATTACCGAGCCCAAAACTTACCCTCTCTCTTATTCTATTGGTGAAACTTGTTGGAAAATTGCTACGGGTAATAATCGGGTATACTTACACATCACTTTTCGTGGTATATTTACCATACATCAAGGCCTCATAAGCTGTCCACTTCACGGGAAGACGGCCCTAAAGATTTCAAATATCACTTTGTGAAACAGCTAAAAAAATTATAGGAAGCGACCGGTCAAAGACAGTGATATTTACAATTATACTCGTATACGCAAGACTAATATTTTTTATTACGGTCCCGTCCAAGGATTTTGTCATCGAAATCAGGAGTACAATGATTGTGAAAGATCACTAAACTGAACGATATGTAGTACCGCCCCCACCTCCCCTCTTTCTTGAATACCTTAGTCTTTCGTTCATAAATATTTTCCTGCTGCACATCTCTTGCCATTCCGAAGTCTGTCACTTTACAAGTTTCCTTATGTCCAACCAACACATTACGAGCCGCAAGGTCTCGGTGAATGATCTAAGAAAGCATTGATCCGAGAGCAAAAATTAGCGATTCCAGAAGAAAAAGAACTGAAATTAAATGGTTCAGATAGGAAAATAGAAATATCCAGCGACATAATATGGTGTGTGTATTTCTCTGTATTCCAGATGGCAGAAAATTAAAATTACTATAATCGCTGTTCCATATTCCAAAGAGAAGCAAACCACTTTATTTCTGCAATTCATAATTATTACATAGAAAGCTTATCTGAAGATTTTATTCGAAGTAGGGTTCTGTAATGTAGCATTTTAGCAACCAAAGACGAATTTTTTAATTTCAAGTTTTGATTCCTTTTCTTTCTTGTCACTAAAATGAATATTCGTTGTACACTCAGTTTAGGCTGAATTAAAGATCCTATTCATTCACGTCTCTGCCTTTGCCTACACGAGAAAAACCCAGATATTTTATTTCGATGAGGTACACTTGCAAAGATGCACAAATATCGCCATTCGCACACTGAAATATAACTTAGGTGATGACGTCAAAATTGGTAGGGTTCCTGGCCCTAAAGAAATAGCCTCAACAAGACGGTAAGAATACGTTTGCATATCCCGGGCGTGATCTTGTGAAGACGTATTTTTCTATGCAAGACATAGCTTAACATGACGATACATCTTACAAGAAGGTTTTAGAATTGTTTTTCTTTGGTGCCTTTTTAATTAACTTACAGATTTTGAGGACAAATAACTCATTCCATCAGCAATTTGCCAAGCAAACTTCATCAGCTGCTGTGACGTCAGATTTGTTTGTGGTTTGACTTCCGGGTCTTGGAAGTAAGTGTCTTTTAATCCACGGCTCTTTCTCAGGTAACCCAGCAGATCCCCAAAAGGCACATATTCAATCAAAACCAGCAGCTGTTCTGAGGAAATTAAACAGTTTCATTTAGATATTTCTCTCTCTAAAAAAAAATTAGCAATAAGTAAAAAAAAAAATAAATAGCAGTCAGGGTCAATACATTTGAAGAAATCGCACGAAAACAAGATGTAGTTTTACGATGAAAAGCTGGAAAACTTTGTAACGATCTCATAAGAAGGTACAGATCAAATATTCCCTTAGAAAAAGCGATTCTGCTTATACAACAGAATGGCTTGTACAATGGCAAATATTTGGTCTTCGTCTATCAGCAAATCCAAGAGCGTCGCTGTTAGCTAAAAAAGGATAAAATTACCATATGCGTTGTTTGTTGTGCGCAATTGTGAAGCAGTGAATCTTCCACTGAAGCAAATTATCAATGACGAGAAAGCGCTACAGAGTAAATCAGATGCAAAATGTGTACAGCAAAATTAGACCTCATAATCAAAGCTTACCAGATTCTGTAACGCATCCCAGAAGTTTAATGACGTAAGGATGTGGTTTCAGCTGCTTCATTGTGTCAAGTTCTTTCATCAAATCTCTCTTGTCCGATTCAGTAGCGTTTTCTGGAGCGTTAAAACAAGGAGTAAAATTTGGTTTACGGGAATAATATGCAAAATGTTGAAATAGCGACATAACTTATCCAATCACAAATAGCTAAAAAGTTACGGTAACCCGGTAACAGTATATGACTGTAGGCCAAGACTCTCATTCAATTTACAGTTCAAGAACTCACTTTTAAGCATCTTAATAGCCACTGTGGTCGTTTCAGGACTCCCTCGAAGTCCTACTGCTGTTCCCTTGGCAACCTGACCAAAAGCACCTTTACCAATAATTTTTTCTATGGTCACGTGGTGTCTTGAAACTTCCCAGCAGCGTGTTAACGGATGAAGAGGCACGTAATCAGCACCTGAAGCGGTACTTTGTGCTTTTCTATCATGTTTGTTGACTTCTATGAGATCCATGTATTCCGCAGGAGGCTGGGTGAGTTTTGCTGAATCGGGTAGATTTGGTTCGCTATCTTCTAATCCTGTTTCATTCTATTAAACCAACATACCGTTAAGGTATTCATATACAAGTCTGTTGTTAATCCCAATAAAATTTCCTGCATTTTTATAAAAATCAGTTTACCCGTTTTCATCAGACAAGCGTTTATATTATTTCATAACAAGAGATTATTAGTAGTTTATAATCTCTTGTCCTTAAATATTACTAATATTTATTATTACTAACACTTTGTTCTCTGCCATTGAAACTATCATGTCCAATGCAGTGATCGAGGTTCATAGCATATGCGTTGCAGCTACAAACTGCAACATGAAGATCGTCGATTGGTAGTGCAATTGTTTGACAAATGCACACACGAAAAAAAAACTCTTGCTGTACTAAGCTCCTGGACTGGTATCCAGTCACCTCGCCACCAAGCAGACTCGCCACCAAGGAACGATCTCGCCACCAACGTACTCGCCACCAAGCGAAGTCTTCTCGCCACCAACCACCAATAAAGAGATTAGTCGAGGACAGTAGGATGTTCGGCTGATAAGTCTGTACTCAAACTTTATAAACGTATGTTGTCGAAAGCACGTTCGAAACCGATAAGTTTGTTCGCTTGTCTGTACTCAAACTTTATAAACGTATGTTGTCGAAAGCACGTTCGAAACCGATAAGTTTGTTCGCTTGTCTGTACTCAAACTTTATAAACATATGTTGTCGAAAGCACGTTCGAAACCGATAAGTTTGTTCGCTTGTCTGTACTCAAACTTTATAAACGTATGTTGTCGAAAGCACGTTCGAAACCGATATCTCTGAAAATTTGTTTTCCTTTTTTTCAATAAGGTTCAAGAGTTGGGATTGGAGCCAGCCTACCGCGCAGACAGCCGTACCTACAAGTACATTAGAAAACTCATATGAGCTGCTCTTCCAGATTTAATATTCAATAAAGTTTGTTGTTATTTTGCCGCGGGGAAACTGGGTAATATAATTCGACCGAATATTGAGTAAGTTTTTATTCCTCGCATCGAGTTTTGCAATTTCTCCTCGCTTACGTGCAAAAGACAAACACGATACGTTTCGATGTCAATGAGTTAGGAACGGAACACATCTAACACGTCGCTGAAGGTCATAATTTAAATACAGACAAGCGCACAAACGTATCGGCCGATTTGAATTGTGCTCGTTCGAACATCCTACTCTCCTCGACTACTTTATTCTAGTTTATCTCTTTATTGGTGGTTGGTGGCGAGAAGACTTCGCTTGGTGGCGAGTACGTTGGTGGCGAGATCGTTCCTTGGTGGCGAGTTCGCTGGTGGCGAGTCTGCTTGGTGGCGAGGTGACCGGTAACCCCTGGACTAACGCTTTGAAAATAAGGCATCAAGATAAACAGACGGCCAAAACGGCGTGAAAAAAAAATTATTTACAAAACAAATATCAACCGGGTGCAGACCAGTTAGCGATCTATGAAGTGAAACCACGCAGTTGAACCAGGGACAACCGAAGGAAAATCGATGGAGCAGCTTGGTAAAGGACATGATCCCAGGACAAAGACCTTATCGAGTCAAACTTCTTCCTATATTCTATTGTACCTGTTATTAATGCATTATGCCTTTTTGGTAGAACTACACCTTTTTTCCTTCCTATTTGTTACAAGCGTTTATTTCCTTCTAGAGAGTAGAGGTTAAGTGAGATTACATAATTACAGGCCACACTAACATGACCTCAATGTCTTAGCTGTAACTTACGTAGGAAACACCTCTTTCATCTTCATAAGTCCTACAATTGAGAAAGCATACAAATATTTATGACGAGCTGAGAATCTCATCAGTTTTTAAGTGGAAGTTTGTTATAAGATGATACCATATCTGGTACATTACATGGACACAATCCAAGTGGCAGCAAATTCTTACCTCTGTTTCCCAACAGCGCCTGAAAAAGAACGAAAGGAAAAAAAAGACAAATGATGTGGATGTGGGTCAAGATTTGCTTTTGCTTAATAAAGAATCTTGCAGCCAAACCCTCTATCATAGATTATGAATTTTTTACCTACCTTTCTTATGTAGCCAGATTATGTAAATAATTAGAAGAACGATTATGAAGGCAAGAACCCCATTTATGGCTAACGAGACGTTGTTAGATGGGCAGTTACATTCCTCAGGACCTAAAATGATTCATTTTACAAAGTCTGATCAGGTAATATTCAAACAACATTTCCAGTGATCGTGGTCAGTACACTGCTCTCACTACATAGCTTATGTTCTAGAACGAAAACCGTTAACTCGAACTGGCTAGGTACTAAGGAAAAGCAAGGTGCTACTCTCTCTATAATAATTTTTAAAAGTAATATTTTGTTTAATTTAATAAAAACAACAACAGCGACGAAAACAAAACTTGGAAATATATGACTCACAGAAATGACTTGTTTAATTAAACAGATACGGAATACAATTAAAAATTTCCATCTTCGGACGAATACGTGTAAACACTTAACAATAATATTTCTTTGTAAAACATACTTTTTGTTGTGCTTTCCGAGCCGTCTGTGGTTATAAAAACTTGTTTAATTGATTCTGGATCGACTTTGAAACCTCCGAATTTCTCTTGCCTTGCAGCATCCAACAGGACAGTCAAAACATTGCTGACGACTACACTTCGATTGAATCTCATCATGAAGTCGAGAACAACACTACCACACCTAGGTAAGTGGGGAAGGATGTAAAATGCCGAATCGAACACCGTGCCGAAAAGAGTAAGACGCATAAGTTATGACTGATTATACAGTCTGTATTAAACAAAAAGAAATCGTGGGAAGAGTTCATTTAGGTTTGCAAGTAGTTTCTTCATCCGCTTTTACATTCTTCACCTATTCAAACATTTGTCGCCTTTGGAGAATATAACTACATTTCCTATTCCTAATATTTGTTTATCTCTCCCTTGAGAAATAGTTAAACAGGTTATGAATAAGGAGAACCTCAGTACTTAAGTTACGCAACGTTACACTTGGGGATATAGGCGTCTTGTGGTCTGTTTTGACTTATTATAAATGAGTAGCCTAAAGATTAGAAAGAATCCAGCGCCAAACAAAGTATGTTACCGAAAGGACAGAGTTTACAACGAGAGCAATTCGACGAAGGCGCACCTTGCGTGACAAAAATTGAGTAACCACACGGCTTCAATTGCATAATCAGTCATAATTTATGCATTGTGCCCTTTACGGCACGGTTCTCTATTCGGCATTCTATTTGTACTTTGGTGACTTTTAAGTGTTAAAATACATTGAGATTTAACCAAAAGAGTATTTATGATCTAATAAACCAAGGTAAATAAAATTAATTCATGTCATTCTGTGTCAATCTGTTGCTGTAAATTAAATAAAATGTACTTAAAATGTAGATTATTTTGCATTAACTAAGATTTTTTAGAGCAGAAACACCAATTTTAACACTAAAATACGCCAAACTGAGATAAAGCTCCTCTCCGCCCCAGAACACAGATTTGCGTTAGCGTTTGTTGTTTCAGTGTTGAGACAAACTGCACCTTACCTGGTGTTCACGGTGTTGGCGGATGAGCAGCCAAACTTAAAGGTAATTTGACAAGCCTAAAAGCACATTTAAAGAAAAAAATGTAAATTTGAATACTTGTTTCGTTATTGAAGATCGTTCAAAATGTCTTTTTGTTTTAACAGAAATATTGAGATTTCGGTCAACAATAGATTGATTAAGATTCCCTTTTAATGACAAATATTATGGAAGTATTCTATACACTCCGGTACACGGATCAAGTAGATTATCTAACCATTTCTGGAAATTTCGCAGCAACTTCTGAACGTGTGCTACAGTTCCCCTGTATCGTCGCTGTCAGGTAAACTTCTGTGCTTTCTGAAGCTGAAGAAAAGCCGTGTCCTTTTACATTTACGAAAAACATGAAGAGCCTTGGTTCACAAAAACTGCCGAGAAGTGGTTCCATCTAACAATAATTCAGCTTGAACATTGTTATGACTGTTTGTGAGTCTACAGTCCTTCGCTAAGTTCCAGGTCCTCAGTAACTTAATTCACTCTTTGTCTTTTACTAAAACTCATTTTGTAACACTAAAGAACATGCTAATATGATGACATAGTTTTACAGGGTGGTAAAAAAAAGAAAACGCCTGTAAAAAAACAGTTACCTGCGGGAGTTGTTTGGGATGAAGTGGCAACTGTACTTGAAACTGTTTGAACTGGGAAAAAACAAAATACGACTTAAAATGATCGACAAGCAATTTTAAATTTTATGTCATCATCACACCAACCTCAAAACACACGATAATAATAATACGTTAGCTTAAGTAATTTTTTTCACGGAGGTTTAGGGTATGAATGAAGGGAAGTGAATGTAGAGGACTTTGTCGCAACCTTGACAGATTGGATAAATCTATCCCTTCCTGGGTGAACTCCGAGAACGCGACCCAAAGGTCACCGACTAAGGTGAACTCTTTCAGCAGGAATTAAAACCAGGTTACCAACAGCAAAACTATTACGTGGTCTGATCCATTTCTACCGTTCTTCCAAATTTAACAGATATTACGAAAACCATCTCCTCCAAAATACGTCAGCAAGGTATTGAACTTGCTTCCAGCGACGATGGCAGTACAAATCATTCTTAACGAGGACTCCTGGCGGCAAATTTAAATCCAATCGAAGTAACAAATGGTTATTAGTCAAAGATTGTGAATCAATAGGACTGAATGCTATTGTTGAGAGTCAATGGTCGACTATTGAGAATTCCCTCAACTTCTGCCATCAACGTTGACCGTGCGTCTCCAGAACCAATTGTTGCTTTTAAAAAAAAGGGCTCGTAAGACCTTTCTCACTGAACGAATCAAATGTAGTGTTCCCAGACTCCTCCCATGTGTGATGCTTCAGGGAAATTAAACTTCCTCTTGATGTTCTTCTGATGTAGGAAAAATTCTATCTTCTGCTGATTCCAGTTGTCTAGGGCTTCAGGGATTTCTCTCTCTCCGCTACTTAACTTCATACCATTGTTACTTCTTATCATTTTTGGCGTCCCTCTTCAGCTGATGAATCTGCATAGAGCACGAATAAACGATTCTGTTTCGAAAAACTCGCTCACTTCAATGTGGATTGCTCGGATAGTTAAGCAAGAGAAAAGACACCATAACTTTTAACTGTACATCTGCATTGCTTCACAAACAATGGGCCAAAGGAATCTATGCCAACGTTAGAAAACGGGGGTTTATCTGGAATAAGCCTATTGCCAGGTAAATCTAATATCAATTGTTGGCCCTTTGCAGCATTTTGTTTTTGGCATGTCAAACAGTTACTGAGTACTCTTCAAAGAGCAGCCCGTGCCTTGAAGATCCAGTACTTTTGTCTCAAACTGGTCTGGACATATTCTTGACCTAGATGACCCACAGACTGATGAACATCCATGATGAGCAGTTTGGTAGCATGGTGCTTTGAAGATAACAGCAATTGATGTCTCGATTGGTAATCCGATGAGGGATTTTGAAGCCGACCACCGACTCTCAATATTCCCGCTCTATTAAGAAATGGTCACAATTTGTACACTGAACCAAATGAGCCAATAACTTTCAATTTACGCTTCTCAGATTCGCCTGGGCTCAAGTCTGGGAGGGCTTTAACCACTGGTGAGAAAGCTAATTTTTGCACGTATGTGATGATTTGAGCCTCTGCATGTCGTAATTCGTCTATCGACAGCCTTCCACAAGGTAATGGATCAACAGGGTCCTCTTGTAAGAACCTCTTGCTCTTAGGGAATTTTTCTAAAATCTCAAACGCCAAGCAACTCCCTTCTTAAGCTTAAACCATGACGAATATTGAAGAACCATTAGGCTCAGTGGTCGTTTATCCTCCATGAGAGTAACATGATTTGTTCGCGCTTGACCCCTGACCCCTCGGTCTGACTAAAGAGAGTGGATGGGTGGGTTACGATGTTTCACTTTCCCAAAGAAACTTAGGGCCTCTGAACCAAACTTTCCTCTTTAATAACTCCTTTACCGTTAGTCTTCGGCTGGCATCGTCAGCTAGGTTGATGCTTGTTGGCACAAAGTTGTACTGGGAAGGTTCTGAGACATCATGTATCACTGCCAGGCACTTGACCACAAACATGTAGAATCGTTTGTCTCTTTGCTCTTGATATATTTGAGGACAGCTCTGGAGTCTAACTAAAACACTGTGTTGTCAAATTTCAACTGACATTCTTCTTGTAACGTCTGATTCATTCTGACAGCTAAAACAGCGGCTGACAATTCCAATCTGGGTATAGTCATCTGTTCCACGCGAGCCAAGCGAGATTTCCCAGCGACGAAACTGCAGTGGGCGCGGCCATTTTCATTGACGATTTTTGCAAATGGAACAGTCCCATAAGCAATCTGAGAGGCATCTGCGAAGTGGTAAAGCTCTGCATTTTGTACCCAGCCAAAGTCGATTGCTTTCAAACATATTGGTAAGGCAACATTTAAAAGCATAGGTACATCACATAGCCATCGTCTCCAAAACTGAAATTACTTCCCCACTTTCTCTTCATCCCAGGTGAGTCCTTGTTTGCAGAGATCTTGAAGGAGCTTTTCAGTTAGTAAGATAATTGGTGATACTATGCCAAGTGGATCATAAATGGAGCTAGTCACTAATAGAATCCCTCTTCGTGTGAAGGCCTTATCCTTTGGTACCATCTTGAAAGTAAACATGTCGCTATCCATGTTACATTGAACACCAAGGGTTACTTCAATAGGAAGTACACCAGAATTTGAATACAAATCCAAAATTGATGAAGCTCTGTCTCAGGTTGGAATGGCTTTGAGGACTTGCCTCCTGTTACACAAGCATTTAGCTTCAATTGAAATCCACCTCTTGACAATAGGACACACAAATCTTCTCTCAATTCACAGGCGAGTCCATTGGTTGCACCGATTTAAAACAGTCATCCATATAAAAGTTCTTCAATACTGTGCTGATCAATTCATTGAACCGTCTTTCGAAGACTTGGTGAAGACGTGCCACCAAAAAGGTGTACTCAACAGGCGCCTTAGATAAGTCATCGTCAGGCCACCAAAGGAACCACAAGGTATCAACATCGTTTGGATCAACCATTACTTGATGGAATATGGCTTCAATGCCTGAGGAGAGAGGTACTGGTTCCTGAAGAATTCTTAAGACGACACCAAGCAGGTTGTTAGTCAAGTCTGGACCACTGAGTAATTGGTCGTTGAGCGATGTCCCTTTTTATCGGGTTGTGCAGTCAAACACCACTTGCAGTTTCTCAGGCTTATTAGAATTGAAGGCAGCATATAATTGACTGGTGATGTCTTGACTCGAGGTTGTTCATTGTGGTTTTTTTAATTTTAGCTCATTTTCGTAAACCAATATTTTAATTCATTTTGACAACATATAAGTTCAACTGATACTGACATCATACACTACATCTGAAGAAAACATTCCCTATCCTCGAAATTCTGTTCAAAACATCAGGAACATCAACAAAAGTCTTCGTCTGCCTGAAAATACTGCTAACTAGCACATGTGCTGATCGTCACGCACAACACGTCAACCTCATTACCAGGGTCTCTATTCCTCCCTGTTCGGGGTTGTAATGATTCACTGTGTGGGGAGTTTTATTGACGCAATGTAAACTGGTATAAAACATTTTTCCTG